GTTGAATAATTAGCCATGACAACGGAAACACTAATTTATTAATTGGTAAATATTACATAAATACATATTTCTATTGCAACATAGCTAACATTTAGGCAAAAACAAAAGAAATAAATTTTTTTTACGAACGAAATTGAAATTTGTTTAAAAAAGTAGACGTACAGTTGGATATACTTAAAACTAGCTTTACAATAAGTGTTCAAATAAATTCTCATTATGTTGGATACAGAGTCTCGCTCGACGAACTATGATTGCGTAGCCCGAAAAGTGGAAAACCGTTTTCTTCTTATTTCATTTGCAGCCTGATGGATTCTTTGAAGTAAATCTTCTTGAGTATTTACTTCAGTCGAGTAAACTAGGTCTTTTAATGCTCCCCAAAAATAGAAATCCAATGGATTTAGGTCAGGTGAACGTGGCGGCCACGCTATAGGACCTCCTCGGCCTAACCACCTGTCTAGAAAATTGACATTCAACCAATTTCGAACATTGCGTCCAAAATGTGCAGGGGCGTCATCATGTTGAAAAAACATATTTTCTTGAAACTGCTGACGCACATCCAATGGTATTATATCCATGAGCTCATTCTGAAGAAAGTTCTGATACACCTCTGAATTAAGACGATTGGGAAGTACAATAGGCCCAATTACTTGATCCCCAATTACTCCTTCCCATAAGTTCAATGAAAATCTATGTTGGAAATTTGTAAGGCGAACAACTTTTGGATTTTCATCTGACCAGTGATGCATGTTATGGAAATCAAAAGCACCATTCCTAGCAAATATTGACTCATCCGACCATAATATTCTAAGAATAGTGTTTTCATTTGCTAATATCCACTGGCAAAACTCGGTTCGTAAAAAAAATCTGCCTCCGTTAAATGCTGCACCCGTTTAAAATGATAAGGATGTAATCCTTGCATTCTTGTCATTCCTCCTATATAAAATTATTATTTTTAGGATAACTATCAAATAGGTATTCATCAATTTTTCTTACTATTGCTAGAGGTATATATAATTTCTGATGCTTATTTTAGGATTATTTTCAAACATATTTAAAGCAATATCCATACTATGATCTCCCAGTGGCCTTTCTGAGCCATGCATGCGCTGAAAACTTCCATGGTTTTTAAAAAATTCCGGTGAATATCAGTAAACGACGTCCAGGTACTATGCGGTTGGGAAATCTTCTTTGATATTCTCTTACGGCTGCCAATGAACTGCCATTGCATTTTAAATCGATTTAATAAAAATTTTGATTTTAATCTAGTAATTTTACAATGCTAACAATGTCAGCTTGACGTCAAAATAAGTCATAACAAATCAAAACAACTTTTGTTTGCAGTCATGGCTAACTATGTACTCGTATATTCAACAATTCATTTAAATTCGCAGTACATTTCCTATCGTGTGACAAATTCTTTAGTTTGATTTTATTCAAAAATGGCACAATTTCTCGATATTCAATAAGAGTACCTTTTTATGTAGAAAACTCTAAATTTTCAAATTCTAAAATTGAGTTTCAAAAATAGAATCACACAAAAATTTTGGGGCTAAAATAACCTGAGTCCGTCACTGTTACATACGCTTCCAAACAAAACTGTCTAAAATCGTTAATATTTTTAAATCTAGTATAAAAAACTGGGCTAGAATACCAAATTGTATGTCTTTATCTCAACACGTTTTGGAAATATTAAGGAAAAACCATCTTCAAGGAAGCCCCTTTAAAAGATCGTAGCGCCCTTAGGGGACGCTTGTCGTTTATAAAAAATGTTTCTTCCTATTTTAAGCTCTAGAAACTGCTGGTAGAATATTGCACACTTTTTTCGGGACACCCTTTAGTGGGGGATTTTAAAATAAATTTTACATTAACTCTACAAAAATGGCATAATTAGAATTTCAATATACCCACCTCCCTCTATCATCTACTTTATTTTTTCCTATGGACGCCACATTGGATTTTTGCGCAGATAAATAGAGTGTTTAATTCTGATTTCAAAAATGTGTATGTCCTACGTTGACGTTGCCTAACCTTAGTCACACCAGAAAAAACAGAAATTCCTAGATAGGCCTTGAAATTATCAGAGACAAAGAAAAAGAGAAACAAATCGAGCAGTGAACAGTGCACACATATGAGTTAGGTTTTGCGTACAAAATAACGTATCACATTTTGAAAATCTGCTATGGTTTACCTCTGCTTATTTATGATTATTATTGTTATTAAAATCAATACAATTTTCATTTTGTGTTCCGGCTTCACCATAATAATAACAATAACAATAATAATGTTTATTGGTCTAACATAAAGTTTTCGTATAAATACTAACGGCGACGTCTGATGAACATAATATATCCAAAAAAGTATACACTTGGGTTTTAACAGAACTTGAATTATATAACAATATAACAAATTTTCAATAAGTATACTAGTCAAATGTATAAATTTGCATCAATTTATTATCAAATAACGTGTTGATTTTTAATCTCTTATGGATTTGTAGCCTTGGTTGATTTAGGATCAATGACTTTAATTCAATTTTTGAACGTCTTTTACATTTTATATGCTTAAAATTTGCATTATAAAACTTTGAGCATAGAAAGTACAATGATATTTGGCTGATATACTAAGTGACATATAAATCCGAACACCCAGTTTAAATGGTTTTATTTTAATAAAAGTTGGTGAATGTATTTATCTTACTGTAAATAACATGTGAAAAAAATTTCAGCCTTATCAGTTGGGCATTCCGGTTTTTATACTGCTTTTTCTTAATTCACTAACGCTCTAAAAATGAATATTTCAGCCGCAGTAAAGAATCAACGTTGGCGGATTTTGGATCTTGACATCCTTTACGATCGGTTACGATGCCTAAAGTACGGAGACCTGTACGATTTCGGCAACTTAGTGAGTTTGATAGGGGCCGTATAGTGGGACTTCGGGAAGCTGGACTTTCTTTTCGGGCAATTGCAGTTAGAGTGCAAAGAAGTCTAGACACTGTGGTTAGGTGTCGTCAGGCATGGCTTCGAGAAGGCCGTACGCAAAGAGCAAGGGGCACTGTACGCCGCCGTAGAACAACAGACCGTGAAGATCGCCGCCTAAGATTATTGGCCTTAAGGGACCGTTTCTCCACTACCAGGTCCATTGCAAATGAATGGTTTGCAGAACACGAATGAGAAGTTTTGGCTTGTTTTCATACCGGCCACACTGGGTCCTCCCTTTAACTCGAGAACACCGACGTAATCGCCTTGAGTGGTGCAGACAACGGTCACTCTGGGGTCAGGAATGGAACAGTATTGTCTTTAGTGATGAGTCTCGATTTTTGTTTAGGCATGCACGATGGTCGTGCCAGAGTTAGAAGGCGACGTGGTGAAAGGAGGAATCCACAGTTTTTTTGTTGAAAGACATGTTCATCACACTGTTGGAGTTATGGTTTGGGGTGCTATAGCTTATGGTTCTAGGTCACCTTTAATCTTTATTAGAGGTAAGATGAACGCGCAGCGTTATATCCACGAAGTTCTAGAACCCCATCTTTTACCCTATCTTGACACCCTGGCAGATCCAACTTTCCAACAAGATAATGCCCGACCACATGTTGCAAGAGTCACAATAGACTTCTTTCAACATAATGATGTCACATTGTTACCATGGCCACCAAGATCTCCCGACTTATCCCTATTGAGCACGTGTGGGATATGATGGGTAGGAGATTGCTCAATTTGCAACGTCCTCCTCAGACTCTAGAAGCACTTCGAGAGGAGTTGGTGGTTCCTGGAACGAGATACCACAGGAGGACATTGACCACCTGATCAGAAGCATGCCTAGGCGCATTGGAGAATGCGTAGTACTTCAGGATGCATTCACACATTATTAAAGGTCAAAGGGCTTTAAAGCAGTGCAATCATTTTGAAATTTTTATCATTTACTTATTATGCTTCATTAAATGCTTATACAAAATTTATTAAAATAAAACCATTTAAACTGGGTGTTCGGATTTATATGTCACTTAGTATAGTTTTATTTAGTCGAAGAATTAGTGTAGATGTTTCCTTGATCCTGCAAAATCCTCTTTTGCGTAATTCTATTTTTTTTTATAATAATTATTGATGACTCAGCCCCATACTAGGATTCCATAGGATAGTAATGATTGAACAAAGGCATGATATATCATGCGCAGATATGTTTCGCTTAAAAACGGCTGAAATGTTTGATTTTCGAAACAAGATATCTTAAATTTCTTATTAAATTTTCAACGTGTATATTCCGACTTCGATGGTTATCTATAAATACCCCTAAATATTTGAAATTGTTTTCTGCGAAAACAATAATTTCTCCATCGTTTGTCAACTTAAAAATGTCATTAATGTACAAATGATAACAGCATTGGTCCTAGTACGGTTCCTTGCGGAACTCCGCATCTGTCATATATAATTCCTTATAATCTTCGTCCAACAACAAATGCATGTCCAACTAAGGGACATCACTGAATTTAGGACTGAAAAGTTCATTTAAACCTACAAAATTCCAGTATAGCGTCTATATGAAAAAGTTATTGATGGAAATCGAAAGACGAAATGTCGAATTTAAATTCGACTACGCCCTATTGTAGAGGAGAATAAGTAACAATGAGAACATGCAATTTATTTTGAAACCCCACCTCGAATAAAGTCAAGAAAAAAACAAAAGTGAATTTGGGATAAATCTGGTATGAGAAAGAAATGATTATCTGGGAATTTCAGGTAGATAGGAAATTCTGCCTCTTTAAAATAACTAAAGTATGACCATGTATCTTGGACCTTCATCGACCTGTTCTCTCTGCAATACGTGGCAAGCATTGCACTCATTTCAGCAGCATCACCCTGTATAGTGTCCACCGCCTCGACGCTTCCTTCGTCCTATTCTTCTAAACTTCTTCGCCGGCGGCGGTAGCCATCAATAGCTTCCGGCCATGGCTATAAAACCTGCCGTTGGGCCGGTGCGGCCTCACGTACTTACAAGAAGCCGTGTGGTGATTCTCGAGGACGTGCTTGTGGTTCGATTGGTGGTGCGTACGGGTACTACGATGGCAATAAGGGTGGATTCGGTGGTCGCGATGGCAGTGGTGAGCGTGCTCGTAGGGATAGTCGGAGCATCGCCTAGGCTAAGGGTAGGTACCAGTGGTAGTGAAGAGAAAACTTTAGGGAAGCACCAAGTATTACTTTTTTCAAGAGTGTCGGCAGGAGTATTATGTAACTTCGGTTTTTTGACATTATGTAGGTCTCCAAACAAGACGTCAACTTGGAACTAACTGTCGTTCACTTCACGCTCGCTTTTATCTTTTTTTTGACATTATACAGGGTGTCCCAGAAGTCGACGTCAAGCCGAAACTGGGTGACAGGCAAAGTCATAACAGCTATCAGAAAAATATTTAAAAAAAATTGATGTATGTGTTTTGAAAATTATAGGTCTTTGAAAAAGATATAGAAATTTCACACCCTACGGCAGTCTGTCAACTCCTGTTACTACAAATATTAACTTTTTTTGGATTTTGTTTTTACAATGTAATGATGAATAATGCATCTTCAAACTGGGGTCTCAACCTTACTGCCAACTTTTCTCGTTCAGGAAAAATTGCCACTTATTTCCCAACCAAGTATTCCAAAGTAAAACTTTGCTCAACTTTAACTGGCTGTACTGGAAAAAAATGTACTACGAGAGTTTGGCAACTAACCTTAAAAGTTGGCGCATTTAATAACGATTCCAAAATGGTATAACACTTAGAAGATTACTCGTTAACTTATGCACAATTTTTATTTGAAAAAAAACTGATGAAAATTTTTCAAAATTTCCTAATTAAACAACGATTATGAAAACGCACAAGGACCCTTAAGGATAACTGTTTGCACAACAGTGGGCGTCAAAATGTTGCTGATGATGATTTACCTTTACAGCAAATGCTCAAACTGTTTTCCTTCATCTGCAATACACGCTCGACATCTTAAAAAATATCGGGTTATTAAACGAGCGAATCCACGGTTATTAACAAACTCAGCTGCTTTCAATAGTCTTTGCCGTAGCTCAGCTACATTTTGAATCGGCTTGAAATACACTTTTTCTTTTACAGTTCCCCAGTAAAAAAATCTAAAGGATTCAAATCAGGTGATCGGGCTGGTCACGGTATTGTACCAGACCGCCATATCCATCTGCCTGGAAAGTTTTGATCGAGATACTCTCTCACTGAGAGTGCATATTGCGCTGGGCAGCCATCATGCTGAAACCACATGTCCGTGTAAATACTCAGTGGCACGTCCACCAATAAATTTTGTACATGATTTTTCAAAAAATCCAAATAAACTTCAGCAGTCAAAGTCTCTGGGAACTCAAACGGACCGATTATTTTACCATTTAAAATTCCTGTCCAATGGTTTATCTTGAAGCGATATTGAGATTTATCTTCTCTCATCAAATGTGGGTTTGCTATGTGCCACTCGTGTAAGTTATGCAGGTTCATGTACCCATCTTTCTTAAATGTGGTCTCATCCGACCATAAATTTTTTCAAAGAACTATGGATCTTTCCTGTGTATTTCTAACATTGTTGCGATAAAAAGCAACTCGGGGCTCATAATCCCGGGGCAGGAGAGGTTGAATACGCTGTATGTGGTATGGATGAAACACATCACTTACTTGCTATTGCACACTTTGATACCGATCAGTCCTCCTTCGTTTACTGCGCATCTTTACATGTTCGTGCTTGTTGATTTCGTACTGTTACTAATTTTGGATTCGTGAACTGGACTGTTGATCGCTTGTGATTTGGATTTGGACTGTTTAATTGCTCTTCAACACAACATTTGCTTTCCTTAGACTATCTTTGATAGTGTGATTGTGCAGTGCCGCTATGTCCGTGTACACCGTACAAGAATATGCTAACATGCACCTCATTTATGGGGAATGCAGATGCAACGCTAGTGCTGCAGCGAGACTTTACTGTGAGAGGTACCCGAATGCAGCTCGTCATCCAGATCATCGAGTGTTCACAAATGTGCACCGCTTACTTTTCTCAGAGGGCCAACTACCAAACCAATCACACGGTGAGGGAAGATCTTTTCTTCCTTACGAAGACGTGGTGCTAGGAGCTGTCGAAGAAGACCCGAGTACTTCAGTGCGTGCAATAGAACTAAAAACAGGTGTGCCCAAAAGTGCCCATAGAATCTTGCAAAAAAACGTGCTCCGTCTATACCACGTACAGCGTGTTCAAGCTCTTCTGCCCCGGGATTATGAGCCCCGAGTTGCTTTTTGTCGCACAAAAATTTATGGTCAGATGAGACCACATTTAAGAAAGATGGGTATATGAACCTCCATAATTTACACGAGTGGCACGTAGCAAACCCACATTTGATGAGAGAAGATAAATCTCAATATCGCTTCAAGACAAACCATTGGATAGGAATTTTAAATGGTAAAATAATCGGTCAGTTTGAGTTCCCAGAGACTTTGACTGCTGAGGTTTATTTAGGTTTTTTGCAAAATCATTTAGAAAATTTATTGGAGGACGTGCCACTGAGTATTTACAGGGACATGTGATTTCAGCATGATGGCTGCCTAGCGCACTATGCACTCTCAATGAGAGAGTATCTCGATCAAAACTTTCCAGGCAGATGGATAGGGCGGTCTGGTACAATACCGTGGCCAGCCCGGTCACCAGATTTGAATCCGTTAAATTTTTTTTACTGGGGAACTGTAAAAGAAAAAGTGTATTTTAAGCCAATTCAAAATGTAGCTAAGCTACGGCAAAGACTATTGGAAGCAGCTGAGTTTGTTAATAACCGTGGATTCGCTCGTTTAATAACCCGATCTTTTTTAAGAAGATGTCGAGCGTGTATTGCGGCTGTAGGAAAACAGTTTGAGCATTTGCTGTAAAGGTAAATCATCATCAGCAGCATTTTGACGCCCACTGTTGTGCAAACAGTTATCCTTAAGGGTCCTTGTGCGTTTTCATAATCGCTGTTTAATTAGGAAATTTTGAAAAATTTTCATCAGTTTTTCTTCAAATAAAAATTGTGCATAAGTTAACGAGTAATCTTCTAAGTGTTATACCATTTTGGAATCCTTAGTAAATGTGCCAACTTTTAAGGTTACTTGCCATACTGTCGTAGTACATTTTTTTCCAGTACAGCCAGTTAAAGTTGAGCAAAGTTTTACTTTGGAATACTTGGTTGGGAAATAAGTGGCAATTTTTCCTGAACGAGAAAAGTTGGCAGTAAGGTTGAGACACCAGTTTGAAGATGCATTATTCATCATTACATTGTAAAAATAAAATCCAAAGAAAGTTAATATTCATAGTAACAGGAGTTGGCAGACTGCCGTAGGGTGTGAAATTTCTATATTTTTTTCAAAGACCTATAATTTTCAAAACACATACATAAAATTTTTTTAAATATTTTTCTGATAGCAGTTATGAATTTGCCTATCACCCGGTTTCAGCTTGACGTCGACTTCTGGGACACCCTGTATAGGTTCTTACGTCCTGAGTTCGACGGTATGAAAATCGAGCTTTTGAAAATTATAGCCAAGGTCATAACAGAACCACTCACACACCTAATCAACGAATCCTTTTTATCCGGCATATACATCTCAATTTTAAATAATATAATACCGAGATAAATCAGGAAAATAATATCTAGTGTAGCAAAAGTATTTGAAAAAGTTGTAGCTACTAGAAAGGTTCGATACCTCACAAAATACAATATTTTAAGTGAAAATCAATACGCATATACAGAAGGGAAGTCCACAATTGTAAATCAAATATGTACATCAAAATATTGATAACAAAATTTCTTCTATCTGCATTTTTGTTGATTAAGGCCCATATCGTCAGTCGTCCCTACAATTGTAGGGCGCGTTTATGGCCTCCTTGATTGTCATAGTTTTCTACTTCTCCGTGTTAGAACTCTATTTTGAGGTTATGTCACAAACATCTATTTGCATCAAATTGTGCTTGCTTTTGAGTTATATCATGTTTTATCAGCTTGAAATTTCCTACAATTTTAAAAGAAAACATATCTTTATAATAGGAGAGCGCTGACGCTGACACGGGACAAGTGTAATCTAGAAATTTTTGAAGGAGAGAAAGGAGTATGACAATCAAGGAGGCGATAAACGCGCCCTACAATTGTAGGGACGACTGACGATACGGGCATAAAAGAAAGCTTTCGCCACAGTTAATCGCAAATTATTATCAGAAACATTGGAGAGAATTGGTTTTAGAGGAAAAGCATACTCACTGATCGACAATTATCTATTAAATCCCTCACAATCTGTCCAGATATCAAGATCATATAGGAAGAGAATGTATATAAATAGTGGGGTCCCACAAGGAACAATTTTAGGTCCACTGTTATTGAATACATATTTAAACGATATTTTTCAAATTAAGTGTATTGGCAAAATAACCCGTTTTTCAGATGATACTCGTACAACATTACGAGGGATGTCTTTTAAGTTTTGCATTTGCATTTTGCGTCAGTACTGAATCTTAGCCTCACTCTTTAGTAAACTTAAATTCAAAGTTTCACAACAATACGAACAGTGTTCTTAATACAGTGAATTTTTAAGTGTCACCAAGGCATTATAAAACTGGAACTCAACCGAGAACATTTTCGCGCCATAATTTATTACAACTTTCAGAGGCAATTATTGCAATAAGAATGCCTCACATTTCATGCTGTCAAGTTATACAGCTCTACAGATAAAATATGTCGCAGTAAAACAATAGTGCCTTTCAGGAGACTCGTTAAGAAACAGCTGATGGGATATTAATAGTTCAAGTGTGCATTTGTTTCTTTTTCTTTTTATTACTATTGTTTGTTTGTGTATCGAGTTTAACTGTGTTACTCTTTCGTACACAGTGAGGTTAAATGTAAGAGTAGCCATTTGGCTAAACTTCGCCTCACTGATGTATGCTGATTAATAAAGACATTTATTATTATTATTATTATATCGCGAGATTGAGGCGTTCTTGAAGATCTCAAATACCTCAATCCAAAAATTTTACATGAAGAATTAGGAGTAAGAAAATTAGTTTCTCGTTCTATACCCCACCTGTTGACTGCAGAGTAGGTGTCAAAAAACGCTTTACCGTTTCAATTCCGGAAACTCAAAAAATG